GACCATTAAAATGTTATCAGAGTATCGCCTTGTGAGCTATCAAAATGGGACGATAGCAGATTGAGGCAAACAGTGTAACCCCTAACCAGGATTCTTTGATTTTCTGGGCGTCACCTGCGTGTAGTCATGGGCGTGGTCGGTATTTTCTGGTATCACTAGGGTATTGACCTAAATCAAACCGAGTATTTCTTGATTTTATTGGATGTTAGACATACCGACGCGTATTCGCAATGTACGAGGTTGCAGTCGTTGTAGAAGAAAGCGCCATTTACAGCGAGTTTCGCCTCGTGAGCAGAATCTACATTGTCAAATTCGACGTATACCTACAGTAAAAGAAAAATTGAATGGTAATCACAGATTGATCGTTTATGTTCTGGGTGCATGCTATTACTTGTGACTGTCAGCAAAAACTCTCCGCATGCGCGGTCCGACCGGCACGCTGTTAGTATTGGTGCAGCGCGTGGGTGCGAAGATCATCCCAGCATAGCAGACCTTAGGCATCCCCGGTTAACCCAGAAATCTAGACCCTACGGACAACGGCTGTGCCATTACAATCCCTGAAGGTAACTAACTGCGTTTTCCTTTGGGAGCTTAGCAATCATAAACAATCTACCTTTATTTTATTGTTAGAACGTGCCGAGTTATGTCGCACTTCTAAGAGGAAAGTGAATGAATGATCTATTTGCAACATTGTCGTACGAATACCTTTAGAGGATTCTGTAACTTTTTTACTTCTTGAGATTCATAGACAACATGGGTCGTATTACGCCTCATCTCTTCGCTTAAACCTTTCGAATTGTATGCAGAGTGAAAGCGCTTCTATCTACTGAGGTTACCTTGCATGAGTCCGCACGATACGCACCCCTGTCCAAGGGGTCCGACCGCCACTAACCGCTAATTTACCGCGCGCGATGCTTGCATTATTGCCACTCACAAGCAATGACCGTCTCCCCCCATGTTCTTGAACGAGGGAGCTGTACAGAGAAAGAGAGAACCCAGCTTACCAGCAATTCTGTCTCAGTGCCACGCGATATTGGGCTGATCTTTATACGTTCTATCTCACCGAATGCAGAGCAAACGCTATACACATGCTTAAAATACTACATTATTCTCTTACTGCAGTACAGATTTTGGTAAAGAGTGTTCACCTGAACTTTAACCTCCTTTTGGATTTTGCTTATTGACATCAGAATTACTTTGTTCTGCTCTCGTTTTTCGAGAGCATCGCGGTCAACGATATGGTGGAGCGAGTACATCATAGATACCTCATTACCGCCAATACAGACAGCGTTATCATAACCATATTTCACACAAGCTTCAGAACCTTAACTTTATACGTGACAGCTACGAGAATACTAATTGTTGAGAGGTACAGATCAAAGGAATTATGTTTCATGAAGCAGGGAGTTTCATAAACTAGGATATTGA